GCCTAGACTAGCCTAGCCTAGCCTAGACTAGCCTAGCCTAGGTAGCCTAGCCCAGCCCAGCCAAGCCCAGCCCAGCCAAGCCCAGCCCAGCCTAGCCTAGCCTAGCCTAGCCTAGCCTAGCCTAGCCTAGCCTAGCCCAGCCCAGCCTACCCCCCCCCCCCCCCCAACATCCCAACACCGGCTCCTTCACCATTAAAGCCCCATCCCCCACACCGCAATTTCCTCGTGTACACAATTAACTCTAGCAATTTATAATGTCAGCGTATACTACCTCCTAATTTTTGCACTCAACTTTTGCATTTGAAACATACTTGAGTTTTAAAACATTGGGTAGAAGATTTTGAGGCTTTCAACTATTTTAATATTTTTTAATATTAAATTTCATTTTTTGGAGTAACATACTAATACAATATGTGTTATAAATATATAGATTAGATTCATATACATACTTTTCAATTAATTAATTATTTATGTATGTGTATAAATAATTTTTGCAGATATTCCCCGACTTCAAAAAGTATTTATCAACATTTATAGTCATAAATACTCAAAATAAAAGGCATTATCTCCATTTTCGCCCCTTAAGAAAAAAAAAATTAATGAAAAGTATGTGGCAAAATTTTAGTAATATATTATTTAAACAAACCATAGTTTAAAATTTTTTAAATCATTAGTACTTTTCTTGTGAAAACCCAAACGCATTCTGCTCATTTACTCAAAACTCTCATTTTTGTTACTTAATGCCTTTCCTAGAGAAGGGCAGAATAGAACCTCTATTAACAAATATAGCAGTTAGATTCTTACAGGTGGGTAGGGATGCGTGCATCGGCGACAGCAAAGTGCTAACGTTTATACCCACACACACACACACACACACACACACACACACACCCACACACAAACACACACACACCCTCACCACTACATATCCACACCCACACCCCACCTGTACACACCCACCCATCACCCCCAACCACACACACATACTTTTCCAAGGCCATGATTTTATCTTCCTCCTCAGTGACCAGTGACCATTGTAAAGATGTCAGTGTATGTGTCACATTGTTTAAGACTAGAAATCTTTATTATTGTGAGTGTTTACAGTAATGTGTAAAATACTTAATTGTAATCGTTTAAGTCATACTGTAGTCATGCTATCATTTTATTACTCGTGGTCGTCTACACTATTAGAATATTCTCAATATAATTTAAAAACTGTACAGTATATGAAATAATTATATTCCCCTAGACCCCAACAAATTTTTCATTAACCATTTTTGAGCATAATTAAGTAGAAAGAATACTAATGATATGTGGAACCTTATCGACAAAGCCGACATTAAAATGATTTTCTATATTTCCATAGTCTTTTTTAATGCAAGGTACATTATTATTGGTGTTTTTGTTTTATTTTTTTAGGTGATGTATGTTTCTCAAAGTGTGAAGGTTGGTTGGAACAGTTACTAAATAGCTATATTTGTGTTGAGGATATTTTCGTCAAAATTTTGTTTAAAATATACTGCTTGAAAATGCCATCAGTGTTGGTAATGCACGTATTCTAGGACTGGGTACTCTTCTAGATGGCAGCCAATCTTATAACAATCGTCTATATGTGTAGGTAAAAGTAAGCATACTGGATATCGATTAAATCATTGTACAATGATTTAATCAATATCCATAGGCCTACAAAGTTAATAATAATTATTATCAATGTGTAAAGGATTTACTTGGCCAGATACAGGTAGACACCATCTATTACTAAATCTTAACCAACTCCTGGGACTAAATCTTAACCAACTCCTGGGTTAATCAGTGTCAAATTACTGAAAACATTTCGGCATGTGAATAAATTTACGTCAAATAATAAGCAAGATTATTTCGCAATTTAATTTAATGTTCATACCTTTGTCTTTTCTTCTAGATGCTAAGTGCTTTACCAAGTGTACAGGTTGGTTGCAATTTCTTGTTTACAGTGCCGTGGGAACCTGATTCATTTGTTTCCGAATTGTTTTGTAGTTAGTTTCCAGGCAACCAGTACTAGTTATGGTGATAATTATTAGGCCTCGATTTTTTTTTTATTTTATTTTTTTTTGCTTTATTAAATGTAAAAAGAATCCCAAAACGGCCATTATCATGTATGTATATTATAAATTATATTAAAACTATATTTTATTATATTTCCATTTAATTGCAATAAGAAAGTTAAATCGTGGAAGCAGTTGGGTACGAGTTCGTGATATTACATCTTAATTGAAGCATAGTGTACGTGACAAGCTATACAAAAACAAATAACTACAGTGTCCAATAATATCATTAAATATATCAAGACATAATTTATGGGGGGAAAAACATACGCAACAGGCCTATACATCTTGGACTATATTAAATAAATAAATGTGAAAACATTTGGCTACCAGTTCGCCAAAAGTTATGGGTACGTGATCTCCAATGGTGGGTACGAGTTCTCCTAAATTCGGGGTATGGATTCGCCAAAGTAGGTACGAGTTGGCATGGGTACGAGTTTGCATCAGTGGTTGCGCCGGAAATTTGCCGACAAGGGGTCCGACGTGTCCGACGGAGGGGTCCGAACCAAGGCGCCGACGAAGCATCGGTCGACGGCCTGGAATAAAAAAAATATCCCTATAAATGCCTGTTTATACTTGCAACGATAACGATAACGATAAAAAGCTAAAAAGCAATTGTTCATATAGAAAATAAAAGAAATAACCGAAGTTTTTACCTTAGGACGATTCGATAATGACTTATCGTGTATACGATAACAAAATATTTTGACAAATCAATTCAAATGACGTCATAATTATCGAAAAAAACTATAAAATCGTTTTGACTACGACATATTATTATTATTTTACCGTTTTTCCATGATTATGACGTCATTTGAATTGATTCGTTAAATTATTTTATACACGATAAATCGTTATCGAATCGTCCTAGTGTAAAAAATTCCCTGATTTCTTTTATTTTCTGTATGAACAATTGCTTTTTAGCTTTTTATCGTTATCGTTATCGTTGCAAGTATAACCATGCCTTTAGGGTTTATGGGGAGAGTTCTTATGGCTTAATTTGGTCCTAAATGTGCTTTTAGACCACAATATTTTCGATTTGGTCCGACGACCTAGTCGTTCGTCAAGCGACAGGGGGTAACTCGTACCCATGTCAACTCGCACCCACAACTTGTACCCACATTTATACTATATACTAGCTTATTGCAAGATTAAGAATAATAATAAATCTACCTGGATGTCTTTCATGCTATCCCGCTTCTAGTTGCCTAGACCTATGTACACTTATGTTTTCAAAAATATTCTAAACAGTAATACAAGAAACAACACGCCTGTAGCCAAGTACTATATTTAGGCTAACCTAGGCCACAATTACTAGACATTTTGTTTGTGGGTGCCAGATAAGAAACCTACAGTTGTCCATAAGTGTCACAACAACGCATATTACAACTTTCGTAAACAATGTGCCAACCCTGAACCGAGTTCCCAAAATTATGTAGTTTCTACGCATGCGCTATAATTTTGCGTCGTAAACGCGACCGAGTTTTTGAAAATAATCCTTTAAACTATGACGAGTATTGCCTCCACACATAAACTCAATTTTGAATCTCAATAATTGTAGTGAAATTATTATAATTTTCTTTACTATGGCAGACAAATCCCAAATATTATTTCTATAAAACCACAATTTACCAAACATGTAAACTAAATAAAAATTCTAAAACTTCGCACTAGCTTCATGAGAAAATCAAAAAAATGACAGCACTGTTTTGAATTTTACGATTTAGTGTGGTTTAAAATTAAACATTATATAGGGCCTACTTTTATTATAATTAGTTTCAGGCATGGCGGCTCAGGGTTGGCACGGCGAGTTTATGAAAGGGCCAAATTCAACGGAAACACGTTCCAATATGTCAGGCATACTTTCAAAATTCACGTTAACACATTTTGAGACACCATAGCACACTTTCAACTTCAAAAAATCTCAGGTCAAACTTGTAAAATTAACAGAGTGTCCGATGGAATGGGAATTTAACGCTGGTTTTATGAGCTGCTATTACTTGGCTCAAGAAACACATACTGACTATCTATCAGCAAACAGTACTTGCCAAACACTTGGCGGACATATTGCGACAATTTCCAATGTGAAGGAAACATCTTGGATACAAACGAAGTTGAATGCAGACTTACTAATGTGGCAACCAGCTTGGGCCCATTATGATGATAGGTTGACGGAAAGGTATAAAAGTAAGTTATATCCTTATTATTATCATTATTATTATTAATTTTTTTTTTAATTATTATTTTAACATCCATTTATGGAATAAAAATGAAGTTTTTAGTCCCATTGTTTAAAAATTTTAAAATACTGTATTTTTTAATATCTAGGAAGTCATATCTGATTTTCTATTGTGTTAGTGTTGACGTATAAATCTAGAAATATTCCTAATGTCATCTGTGAGGTAAAAGGTCAACATTTGATTAATAAATAATGAAGCTTTTAGTTCATTATTATAAAAGTCTAGTGTTAATATACAAGAATTCGTGTTTGATGTCCGATTAATTTAGGTTTGACCTTCAAATCCAAGAATGCTACTGACTTTTAAAAACTATACAAAGTGCAACAGGTTACAAACGTTGGCTATCAATGGTCAAACAATCTTTTTTTTTTTACAATGTGTCACTTTGACTTTGCGTGTTCTTAAACTCCGGAATTTCACACACTCACTTAGCAGCTCCCTTTAATTTGAAGATCTAAACTAGTTCGAAACTCGAATAAAGGTTGTATTGAATCCAACAACAGATATAAATTCCTGGACGTACGGTACTAAACCTTCACATCCATTGGCTAAAGCGGCCATGTAGGCCAATACACAGAAAAAAAACTTAAAATGGCGGAAGGCGGCCATTTTGAATTCAGGGCTCTTACAGGTTAGTCCCACACTTCCACGAGGGACACCCCTGCATTTTTTCAACCCTCAAGGAAGATAAATCCACTAAGAAACTGAGTTATCCTCTCCACGTTCACGGAATTGCCAGAAATGAGCCAAGTCATCTTAGATCATGATTATCTTATGCTTGTCTATGAGTCCGAGTTATTGTGGTTTATAGAGGGCAAAAGATGAACATATCTGTCCCTAAGTCTTATTTTTAGCTTTTTATAAAGTACAAGATTTACACTTACAGCACAGATGACATTACTAGACAGTATAATATATTTAACCTGTACTTTTCTTAAACTTTTTCTTCATGCATTTTCAGTTTTATTGTTAAGCGCACTGAGGCTTTAGCATAATGCGCTATATAAGCAAAAATTATTATTATTATTATTATTATTATTATTATTATTATTATTATTATTATTATTATTATTATTATTATTAAACTTTCTTAACGGTCCTTAGATACTATCTGTACATTAAGACATGCTTGATGAAAGGGTCGGGTTATGATTGAATAAGTTGAAACATGTTCACATTTTACTTTAGTATGTTGAACGAGGCAGTAGTTTTAGAATTTAGAAGTGACTGATATAAAGTTAGTAAGAACCTCTTCTGTTAAAAATTGTCATTTCATTGACAAAATTGAAAATTATCGGCCATGCATTTGACACTTTGGTAAACCCGCCGTGCCAAACCCGAACCACCGTTTAGAGAGTTCTACAAAATATGCGAAAACCAGTATATTATTGTCGTGATATTTTACAACATGAAACACAAAGTTTAAAAGAAAAACAAAAAAACTTCAAAAGATTACGAATACGCACGACCACAGGGCCTAGCTAGACAGTATAATACGGTATTTGATTTTTTTGACTGCTAGAGTCCCGCCCAGTAGTAATAAAATTAAAAACTTAGGCTAGCATAGCAATTTTTGTGGTCATAACATAGGCCCTGTTACACTTCAAGTAATATGCTTAGGCTGGCCCTATGTACAGTTATAACATTACACTAAATCGTAAAATGGAACAGCGCTGCCATTTTCCATATTCTCATGGCAAATTCTCAGGACTTTTGATTTAGTTTACATTTGTGCTAAATTGTGTTTTAAGATTTTTTAAATGTTTTATTTGGGATTTGCCTTGTCATATTGAAAGAAAATAAATTTACTACACTCATTGAGATTCAAAATGTAGTGTGGGATCTGTACACTTTCTGCCTATGGAGGAAATACAGAAATCAATTAAGTTTGTTTTCACAAGCTCATTGGCTTACGACGCAAATTGTTAGTGCACGCGTAGAAACTAAATCATTTGGGTACGGTGGCTCAGGGTTGGCATTGTGGGTTTACGAAAGGGCCAAATGCATCGGCGATACTACTTTACGCCTATGTTATATTTCGAATTATGAGATTTTGAAATCGATTGAATTATCGCCTTCAATCCGTACATTGTGAAAGCCCGATACTATTGAGGGTTCCCTCACGTCTCCTAGTCCAGTTACGGTTCTCCTGACCCAATTACGGTTCTCCTTCCCCTTTGTCCCCACACGTAGTGTTGCGTCATCGTCTTCTGGTTTAGATAACACTAATAGCAGACTCCTGAAACTTGCTGCTCCCCTAATATCACCCCACCTTACCTTTATCTTCAATCTATCCTTCAATTCTGGCATCTTTCCATTTCTCTGGAAGTACTTTAAGGTCTAACATGTCTATAAATCGGGGAAAAAATAATAGCTTATTAATAATTACCGTCCTATTTCTATTCTCCCTACATCTTATAAAATCATTGAAAAAGCTGTATATTTACAGCTCTACACTCACCTCAATTATAATAAGCTCATCTGCTTCTCTCATTTTGGCCTTTGACATAAACATTCTACATGTATACACTAACCACACTTACTAACACTTATGACAACTTACTTTTAACAAATAAACAAAGATTCAAAGTTGACTGGCTCGATCTTTATAGATCTTAAGAAAGCTTTTGACACCGTTAATCATGCAACTCCGCTGTCTTAACTTTCCTTTTACGGTTTCTCAGCCTTAACCACTTCTTGGTTCAAATCTTACTAAATCTCTCGCACTCAACAAGTCCTTTATGGTCACATTTTATCTGACACCTACACCGTACTAGCTGGAGTTCCTCAAGGTTCTACTTTAGGAACACTATTGTTTTCTTTATAATGATCTTCCATCTTTTATTACTAACATTGATTTTATTATACACACTGACATGTATGCTGATGATACCATCATCTATTACAGTGACACCACATTGCCACTACTCGAGCAAAAACTTAACCTACCCCTTAACCGCCTTTCTCTATGGCCTAAACTAAATCAATGCTAATTGGTCTTGTAGAAAAGCTCAAAACAATTTCTAACACCCTCAAACTTACCATCGATAACCATCCTATTGTCTTTGTTACCTCTTACAAGCATCTTGGAGTTACCAATGTTGACAACACCCTAACATGGAATTCACACACTTCTACTCTTTGTACAAAACTGAACTATATTGTATTTCTTCTTGCACGCACCTCTAATATTGTTAACCAATCTACTCTCATTGTTCTTTATAATGCTTTATTTCTCACCCGCTTTGATTATTGCTGCTCTGTCTGGGGCTCAAACTATACAGAGCTTTACGTATAATCCTTCAACTTCCATTTATCATCCACCTTACTGCAGACCATTTTTAAACTTGCCCGTACCCTTCCTTTACATAAAAGACGACTACAAATTAGGTTGCCTTCCCAACAACTCGGCTAACTCTCTCGCCCCACAAACTATGCCACCGCTTGACCAAAATCAAAGCTCATAACAGAATGACCACACACCAAATAACTAATGGAAATCTTCTTGTTCCCAAACTTACACTTTAAATCTTTAAACTATCCTTCAGTTAGAAAGCCCCACAACTCTATAACGCGCTTCCTTTATCTATTCACAATTCACATTATATTTTTCTTTCAAAAGCCGACCCTTGGAGTTCTTGAAAGGCTATTCCTTTGCTTAGTCTTGGTTTTTTGTTTTTGCCTATTACATTTATACTCTTACTTTTGCTTTTTTTCACAATGTTTATTATTTTGTTACTTCTTAGATTAAACTCGTTTTTATTATTTTGTCTTTTATGTCATTATCTCCTTTTCATTGTTTTTAATTATTATTATTACCTGATTTTTGTCACTACTTTATTTTTCATTGATGCATTTTATCATATATTTTGTTATTTTTTTTACCTGTTTCTCTTTTGTTTCTTTTTGTCTTTTGACTTAATTTTTTTTATGCTTAATTTTTACTATAATTATTTTCTTAATGAGAAGATTCAATTGTTTAGATTATATTTAATTTTTATGACTGTTGCAATAATCTGCATATTGTATTTTTAGTTATTTTAATGTTAAGTTGTAATGTCTGTGGTATTCTAATTCTAATTTAAATTGAAAGTTAAGATGTTTTCCGTAATTTGCTTTGTTACATGTTGAGGTTCCCTAATGATTAGCCTCTGCTGGATGGATCACCCTCATTAAATATGGTTTAAACAATTAAAAAAAAATGTTTGTATAATGTTCAATCATCTTTGATCCAGTGAACCTCTAACTTGGTCTAGATTAGTTATATCTGTAAACCACGTATACGACTAGAGTTTAAATCACTGTTGGAAAAAAATGGTTATCCATTTTGCAGAATTCTTCATTTGTAAACAGTCAATTAAAAACATAATCTACTGAAATTACTAATAAAAAATATAATATCCTTACATGGTAAAAATATCAAGAATAATAATTATTAACATGTAGCTGAACAAGTAAGAATGCAATAAACAACGCATTGTATAGTACAGAAAATCTTATAACTTACCGAACGTTGCAGTTCGGCATGTCCTAATAATAGTAATAATAATAATAATAATAATAATAATAATAATAATAATAATAATAATAATAATAATAATAATAATAATAATAATAATAATAACGATCACACAAGGTTGCAGGAACGTTTAAACGTTATGTAGGTATGTAATTAAGTTCTAACTGCGTATTTTTATGATCCTACAAACTAAAGTTTTTAACACAAAACTGTAACATTAATATTGTTCGTTCCTTGGCACAGGGATAAAGGACATTTATTTATTTTTCTTTTTTACACAATGGCCTCTGGCCCATATAAATATAAGTTGACATGAATTTAAAGAGCGACATGATCGTTTCTAAGTTTAAATGATAAATATAAAAATTTAGATAAATCATTGATAATATTGGGAGCACTGGTGGATATTAAACGACTGAATTTGAATTTCGACTTGTACTAAATTATGCAGGTATGAAAGTGTTTCTAATATATGAATAAAATGGGAAATCAAGGTAAAATGGTATTCATCTTCCTCTAAATTTTAGGAGTAAACTTTTTATTTTTTTATTATTTCGATCTCATTTGATCCATCTACCAGTTTAAATTTCAAGTTTTAAATTACCTAGACGAAGTTTAGTCAAAATCCGTCTATATTTCAAGTTTTCAAGATGTAATAAATAGGTATCAACCTTATAGATGTTTTTAAATGTAATATAGTATTAAAGCTTTGGATATGAAGCAATTTTCTCTTGGAGTCGATGACGTTCAATGTCGGTTAAAAGTAAAGTAAACTCGGAAATAAATTCGTCATGATTAGTAGTATTCTGTGCATACCAAATATCTCCAAATCCAGTAGAACATTAGTGTTTGATATAAGCCCAACATTTACCATTTGAATTTGTTTTTCTAAGCTGAAAATGATAACATTTAGAAATAAAGATACAATTGTCTGCATTCTAATTAAAATCTAATTTTTGTATAATGTTATAAAGATTTATAAATATAATACGGAATTGCTAGTTTAACTGAATTTAAACATTTCTAAGCATAACAAATGCAAATTAAGACTGAAATTAAATGTTTTGTGTTCCACACAAAAAAAATAAAAGTAGATGAATTTTTCATATTTGATTTTGCGACAGGTCAGCGAAGAAATATAGTAGGCGCCGAAAACATTAGCCTATCCAACACTGCTAGGCTAGGCCTAGCCTTACCTCGATTTAGGTTCTGTTATCACACATAAAAATGGCCGACATGATATTGTTCGTTGCTGGTATTGATACTTGTGAAATATAACATTTCATAGGAATTATATCGAATTTGTTAAAAAACTGATTCTGACCGAGACTTTAACACTTAAACAAACATGTTCAGGCCTTCTCGAACGACCGCATTGTGCTAGATGCGAATTACAAAAACTAATCCCATTAGAGAGGGCGCACTTTTTTGACTGTATAAAGTATACAGAAATGCGAGAGTATTCCAGCGGATGCGATCTACAACCTCTAAATTTGTCTAGTAACGACGAATCCGTCAAGAAAATGGTAATATTCTATGAGAAATAGTCTGTATTTCTCTTCTTTTTTTTTATTCTTTTGCCTAAAAAGCAAATTTGAGTAGTTAAATTATAGTTTATACACAACAATAACTTATACTTTAGGAACAGGAATTGATGTTAGGTACTAAATCTTAATAAATAAATAAATAAACTAATGATCGACGGGCAGGGTCACCGCAATACTTTATCGCCACAGGAATGTACTGTACTAAAAAAACCTATAGGCGACCCGAAAGTCATTGCCCTATGCATTGGTCAAACAAGAACCTGTTTAATTCAAATACGGTACCGGGCTAATAAATTAAGTACAGGAGTCAACGTGTTTGCTAATACTAAGTGTACCCAATCATTATAGAGAATAAGAGATCTAATTACAAGAGTATACCTCAGTCTAGGGTAATGTATAATTTTGTCACCATTGATGTTTTAGCACTTGCTAGCATTGGACATATTTTTTACTTTCCCACCCAACCATCCCCAACATCTTCCCATTCCAATACCGGGGTTCTCATGTAATATCGGCTGGTATAATTCTTATCAAAATTATTTGCCCTCAATTCAATATACTAACGGGGTTCTAATGGTTCATAGTAAATGAAAATATCCCCCTAGGCCTCTACTCGGGTCCATCGGGAATTCCCATGGTTCGCCGGCAAGACAAAACAGTATTGCATGAGTGACCCCCAAGAAGCCAAACAGTAGTTAAGTCATGGAGGTATAAATATATTTGTATACCTCCATGGTTAAGTAAGGTATTTCTGTTTTAATTGTATAAACTGTAGCTAAGCAATATATAAAGGAACGTTATAAGAATTCGTTATAATAAATTACGACGATCTCGAAATATAGTGTGTTGTGTATAAACTAAAATTTATGCCAATATTTTTCCATGATTTTTAATAATTAAAGTAATGCATGCATCTTTTCTATAAAAAAAAATATGTTTTTAGTGAAATTTTGCCGGGAATGGGGCTTTAAGTAAACGTAAAAATTACCGCAAAGAACTTTTTAAACAATAAACTGAAAGAGGGACTCTCCCACATTCTGCATTGACTGCACCACTTGGCGCGGAATTGCCAATGCTCAATATCTACAGAATTTAGTTTAGACTTTTGTCGATAGTCGGTATTTCATTAATATAACGTTCTTATAACGTAATATTGTTAGCTGGGTATAATTACTATAGACTGTCCGAATCAATACAGCTGTATATACGTGATTATGATTAATGAATGGGGATGACCAATAGAACGTCTTTTTTTGGTATATCTATAATAAATCCTTCTTCATACAGAAATGTAGTTAAGAATAATATATTGGTTTTTGTGGTTTTTTTTTAGATTAACTGTGTACGTTAATACAGTAATTATTATATATTGATTTCTGTAACAAATTCAAATTAATGGCAATACTGTTTCTAAATACATAGCTGTATAAATAAGTTAATGCATTTTTTGTTTTGATATTAGACTTGTCTGTCGTAAAACCTAACGGCCACAGTAACGATGAAGATTGCACTGAAATATATCCAACAGGGTCGCTGAATAATGTGAATTGTAGTAATATTGCCCTACCTATATGTGAAAAAGGTAAATACGTCAAATACATATTTTGCTTAAATTCGTAAATACTTCTATCGAGGGAAAATCTCTGCTTAGTCACATAGACCTACTAATATTTCTTAACAATTACACATTTAGAAAATTATATATAGAACTTACTCTGAGTTCGTCATATATACAAACGAATAAATCCATGCTACCTTTCTCATTGTTTGATCGCTTCACTTTTGATGTACTGCATTTAAGATATACTATGTGAAGATACAATATTTATATTTGGAGACTAAGAACATTATTTTCGTGTGATTTGTTGTGAGAGGCATATTCGCAAGAAAGACACTTTTTTGTTTGCTTGTTTATCTAATATGTATTCTCACAATAGAGAATGGTCTCATTATAAAACATTAGTCTTGCATGTTTTTAATCTATTGTATTTATATTAAAGATGTTCAAAACACCTGCCCTCAAGAATACCTTTGTAGAAATTCTTCTGTATGCTTACCCTATCTTGAAGGCGATTACGATTTTTGCTGTAAGTAACTATTATTTATGTTAAAGTATATCAACGTATTAACCTACATTTTTATACTACGCACATACACACACACTTACGGACACACGAATCCACACCTACACGCGTACATAAAATACAGATAAGACATTCCTGATAATTTTCCGGCTGCCGTCGTCACCATATTGACATTTTCTCTACCCATGTACGACATACTCTCGTAGTTCATATTGTTTTATATCAAAGTGATGCCAAGTGGCGATAGAACTACTTTATAAGCATTAACCATCTAAGATTGTATTTTCTCAGACAATAAATGTCCAGCTGGATGCACATGTAAAGACTTTGGAGTTGTGTGCAATGCAATCGAATGGAATCAAACAATAATAATCAAACATTCAGTTGCTTACCTGTAAGTAATTATATCCATTACCGGTAATAATCTCATAGTCAAGTCTGGCGAATGTTACATCGTTAATTTATTTGGGTCATGTTATTTTTCCAAATCTACAAAATATTAATGCTATTGCATGTCAATACAGATCGTATTTTGTATTCAAGTCAATAGGCCAAAAGGGAGCTCTTATCTGTCCCAGTATAAAATATCCTCATTTTGAAATTGACATAAGAAGAAAATGTGAAACTACTCCGCAGCTCAAATCATGCCAACCACAGTCTCAGAATTATTTAGACTATTGTTTTCTAAGAAAATCAATCACGACATATTGTTAAGAAAATTTTCACTTTCGAGAGGGGCGCTAATTCAGACGGGGCACTTATTCGCGTGAGTACTGTAGTACACAAATATAGTAGTTCATACGCAAGTCTGCTAGAGTTTGCTGATTATTATATTTTAAAATCTGTCTGCATATTTGAAGTAACATAACAATTACTAACTAGAGCAGCACTGAACTGAAATATAATTTAGCTAGTGTATTAAAAAGTCTTTACATTGACTAAAAACATAGCGCTGGCCTTGACAGGCAAAAAAAAAACATGGTGAGCATCACGCTATTAAGTAGAAATAAATCATATTCAAACTATGATTTATTATGTTTGATAGGCAGCTAATCGATGAATGTTTTAAATAAATGTGGCACTTTACCATGATGTTTAGAAACGTCAGTTATCGCCAAACTTTCAATGTGTGACGAAGAGGCTGTTTTGTTCATTTTGTCAAATTGACAAATAACAATTTTGTAATAATATGAAAGTAGTCTTTTTTGGCAAATCTTGAATCATTTTACGGTTGTGATGATATCAGTATAAACCTCAGAAAGACAATAGGAATATATTCATATTTTATCTTTCTCGTTATCTTACCACAGACAACCATGGTATCTAGATGTGTATAAGAGACAGGACCTAGGGTCTGTAGTTATGACCTGGATGGTGTAACATTTTCTTTTACATTTCTTTAATAGAAAACTGGTCAATATTCGTGTGCCTGAATCATCTCAGCGAATTTCCGAAGATGGATTAAAAGTTTTGCATATCAAAATGGATTTCCCACTACTCCTAACAGCGTATGTTAATCCAAGGAGTTAAACTATTAGACAACATTCTTTGACAACTACAAGAAAAAATCGATTACACTGACGATAACAACCGTCATCTATACTTACGACAATCGTTGATAAATACTAGTGATCCAATTGTCACAAAAAAAAAACACAACTATCGACAACAATAGAAACTACCTTAGCCATTTTTTATAACAACACTTTCAATCGTCTGTAACAAAAACAAACGTTCACTCGTATGACACTTTTATAGCAATAACTGAGCAGTCGTCGAAAACAGCAGCAATAATATCGTAGATATAAACGTAATCGTCTTCAGGGACAGTAACAATCACTCACTGATAACAACACAAAAGTCAACCAATACGAAGACAACAACGACAAAGTGCTAGCAACGGGAATGGACGATAACAATTTGTTAACAACAACCGTTGAATGCATCAGCGGTAGGCATAGAAATAGTAACAATAGCAATAATTTTTCATAATAATATTATATACATATATTATATTTCAGAAAATTTTCGAACAATGAAATTCAAGATATTCTACCAGGTACATTCCTGAATCAGACCTTGATGAAGGAGCTGTAAGTTACCTCTACAAATAACAACTACTCTATACTGATATCGAATTTACATAATTGAAATAATTCGTTTGCGGACAATAAATATTATTTTAAAAAAATAATGAAAGTAACACAATTATAAATAAATTAAAAGTGCCTTAATTTAATACTGGTATGACATTGTATTTTTAATAAATGTAATGACTCAATGACTTAAATTACAGCATGCAATTAAAAAAAATAAAACATTTAATGAGTGGAAACATCTATGAGTGGAATTAGCGTGAGAGAAAGAGTAATTATTATGAATACTATTATATAGATTAAATTTGAGTTCAGATTAGTAAAGTGATAATGACAATAGTAATGAATATAACAAAATAAAAAATAATAATCTTAACTGGTCCTAACACACAAAGCATTTCAAAGAAAGAGATACAGCTCCACATTGGGGTATCCAAATTAAACCGCCTCGTGTAATTTGCTTAAAATGGGATTTGTTTGATAACACAATAACTGATCTAAATTAAAGTGTCTTTAAGGGTTTCATGAGTATTCGATTGTTGCAAATGACGTTTGCAAATTTAAAAAAAAAATGTAACACAATGAAGAAAAATGTATTCCAAATTGTTAGAACGTCTAAAAATACTTATAGAATGTCGCGTATAGTCAACATTATTAGATTATCCTTTATTAACGTTGTAATGTATGTCATATGATATCTATGACATTGGCCTGCCGTTTAATATACTTTTTACGATAATTATATACTTATAAACTGTCTGTACAAAGAAAAAAAGTCCAAACTATCATATCATAATCAAAGTAACCACTTGTTTATACATTATGATGGTTTTTTTAGTATTTCCATTTATTTGTCACCTTTTGTCATTATTATTCAGGTATATTTATTCAAAAAAAATTCATACAAAAAAAAATTCAAAATTCAAAAACAGAAGTTATTGGCAATAAAAAGTTTTAACCACCGAGATACAGTTTAACACTAGTGCATCCAAATGAATCAAAAGACGCAGTATAATTTGCATAATTGCTTATTCTCCTTATGTCTTGAAGGGATTTGTCTAGTAACGCAATAACACATCTAAATCAAGGTACCTTAAATGGTTTGACAAGTCTTCGATCGTTGTAAGTGATGTTATCAGTTCTAAATTACAGTTTCCTAACACTCAAAGAAAGTCGTGAAGCATTTAACATTGTTTACTATGCCGGTCATTATGTGGAAAGTGGAATTTCATCAATGACAACAATAATTGTCGTCAAACAATCGTTGATAAATTCAACAAATATTAAAAATCATGCTGTTTTCTCAAACTATTGATTAATCTACAGAGCTAAATTTGTGTTCGTCCTCATTCTGTTATGAGCTTCCCCGCTTGCAAAACCAGAGTTTAGTTAACAAATACCCTAGATATTCTCATTCCGAATATAGTTTTTGTTGGTGATCATATGGATAATATAATGAGTTACTTCAATCTAACAATAACATTACAAATATTAATAACAGTAGCGATTATGATGACAATGTCATCGGTTTGCCATAATTAAAAATATTTTCCCCTTTTTAATGAATGAATGAACGTTAATAGCAGTTGTTATAGATGTAATGTAATTTTAATTTAAGTACAAAGGCTAAGGTTTGTAAACAGGAAATACAGTATAAGTTCTAAATCATTATTATTAGTGATATTTCGTGAATTATTTCTGTATTGATCGTCCTGAATGATTCCGACATGTTGGTAAATATGGTAGTTTTCTTATTTTTCATACTCGTATTATTTTTGGACTACGTACAAAGTTAGGCCTGGTGGTAGGCAATGCTATACGGCGTATGAGTTGAAAGCCAAGACCAGGTGCGTGTATGCAAATACAAATACCACAAGAGATACGGCGTCGAAAACCGGTAAAGCCGGTGATGTTAGGAAACGGCTTCATACTTGGAAATTCAGACCTTATTTACCAAGTATGACAATGAGAAACACTCGATGTGCAATAAAACGGACGAACTAAGAGCTAATGTGATGGACTTTCATGAATTTAGAACTGACAGTATCATGTGTTACACAGAGACCTGGTTATTGGAGAATAAGAGTGATCAACATTTTGAGATTAATGGATTCCGGTTAATTCGAGGAGATTGGACTGCATCATCAGGGAAGAGTGGAGGAGGAGTTATAGTATACCTTATTGAAAGCTACTGTCATCCAAATAACATAAAAATAAGTTTATTTGCCTGCCTCATTGACATTTTGGTGTTGTATATACGTCTATTTAGTAGAGCGGCTAAGGTTGAATTTCAGGTAGAATCGTGCACTTCTGGAAGAAAGCACGAAACTTCCCACAGTGATACTGTGGAACCTAAAGATCATTAAAAAAAATAGACCCCAAAAAATAACACCTCCTAATGGCCACCATCTTTAAATCCAATATGGCCGCCAAAATATTTGATTTTAGCCAATATATTCATATTTACAGCACATGTCATTGCCAAATGAAGATCATTACCCATGTTTTCAATATCTGGGAGTGTCATGCAATTATCAGAAATTATGTCAGATGGCGCCGCCATATTGGATTTCAAGATGGCCGCCAAATTATTACTATTTTTGTCAATATCTTATCTACAGCACCTAGCACTGTCAATCAAAGACCGTTATTCATGTTTTCGATATCAAGGACTTTCATGCAGCCATCAGAAATTATGTCAGAATGCCACCATTGAATTTAAAGATTGCTGCCGTACTATTTCAAGATGGCCGCCAAGTTAATTATTGATAATGTTGTAAATATATCGTCATATCTACAACACCTAGCACTGTCAAATATCTATACTCGTGTTTTCGATAATCGGGAGTATCATGCAGATATCAGAAATTATGTCAGAAGGCCGCCATATTGAATTTCAAGATGGCTGCCATTTAGGATATCAAGATGGCGGCCATTTTTTTTTTATATTTACATATGTAAACTACCAGCACTGTGAATCAAGATCTTGTATATGTATAAGTAGGGATATCATGCAATCATCAAACATCTCATAATCATAGAGAGACCTGCCTATGGCAGTGAAGTAACACCATTTAGAATGAAGTCCGACAACTGCCACGTTGGATTTCAGGATGATTGCCAATTATGAAAGAAATGGAAATTAAAAAAAAATAATAGAAAACTGTTAAGGAGTAACAAATTGGTAATCAATCGAAAGTAATGAAAATTAAAAAAAATAAGTAAATAAATGTTTTGTATGGTATGAGAGCAAGCGCAGAGGGAGAGAGATAGATGCAGATATTAAACATCATTTATATTAAAGCTAGTTTTAGCATGAATGAAATTATATAAACATAAATCAAATATTCAAATATGTAAAGACACTAATATCGAAAAGACCTCATGTCTATGAGATGGCTAATTATCATTTTCAAATGATATATAAACATATGTAAATATTGAAAGGGAAAGAAACGGAAAATAAAATTAAAGGAAGGAAAAGAAAGAACGGAAAGGAAAAACTGGAAAGGGAAAAGAAATAAAA